CCTTTCCCCTTTTGAAGGGCACCTGCTTTAGGGGATGTGTGCCATTGGGTGCTACCTGCTGGGCTGTAGATCAGGGCACCCCACCATGACCCATCCTCCTCCGTTCCTGCTACAGGGTACACCCACATGTCCGTGCCACGCAGGGCTAGCTGGAGGCTGGCATATCCCCCCATGGCGCTCCTTGTGACCCCCTTNAAGGATCCCCGTCCCACTGGGTTCCCCCCCAGGCAGCAGCCCGGCTGCTCCTGCAGCCACAGGAGTGAGGAACGCCTCCTCTCTGCCCTCCTCTCCCCTCCTGTGGCTGCTCCGGAGCCGGAGTCAGCTCTGCCCTAATCCCATGACCCCGCGCCTGCGAGTGGAATGCAGAGAGCTGCGATAAAAATCCCCCGTTTGCCAAAGCTGTGGAATCAGCCAAGAATCCAGCCCAAAAGGTTGAAGGGGGGGGGGTGGTGTGTGGAAACAGAGAAAGAAAAGAGAAAAGCTGCTGCCCGGGGGCTGGTGGGGGATTTCCCCGAAGAAAAGAGGGCTGGGAATTCCCTTCCTTCGAGGGAGAAAACTTCCAAGAACCAAGCTCCAAAAGATTCGGGGCTCCCAGCTGGAGCTGGGGCCGGCAGGACACAAAGGATCCGACACCACCACGGTGCTGCCCTGGCTCTGCCGTGCCACCGGGGCCCGTGGGAAGTGTCCCTGTCCCGGCGGGACCCGGGTAAGCCCCTCTCGTCCAGCCCGTGGCCGCGCCGCCCTCCCGGCTGCGTGAGCCCCGGCGGGGGCTAATCCCAGCGCCCAGGTTAGCTAAGAGGATTGCGGGAGCTGCGTGTGGCCTGCAGCGGGATTTGTGTAGGTATTTGCTCGTCGGATCGTCTCTCCCCGAGCTGCTCAGCCGTGCGGGGTTTGGAGAACGCTCCCTCTGGAGACGCGGGAGCCTCGGATGCCGTGCAGCAATTATGCCCGAGTCTGCCTGTAATCTTTAACGATTTATTCCCAGGGCAACACAATAAACTAAACACACAAAATCCAGGCTGCTGGGAATCCTGGGATCTCCCAGCTTGTGTCTCTGGAGGCTCCTCCAGATACCTTCAACCGTGCTGAAATGTGCACACACTTCCTAAAGCACGGGCTCCTGGAGTCATGGGATTGCCGGAGGAGATGGAGCTTCCTCCCAGGAAGGAGCTGGAGCCGTGTGAGGAGGGAAAGGGGCTCTTCAGGGCTGCCAGGATGTGGGGAGATGCTCTGCCCTTGGGCTGCTTTGCCAAAGAAGCCGAGCAGGCCGCACTCCCAGCCATGGCCACAATGTCCCCTTGTCCTTCCCCACGGATCAGGGCTGGGAGCAGATCCTGCTTTCTGCAGGAGTGGCTCTGGTGTGTCACCTTGTCTCCACCACGGCCCTCCTGAGCTGTGGCACGGCCAAACCTGTGGCCCTGGCTGTCCCCTCGCTGCTCCAGGGCCAGCTGGGGATGTGGCCTCCCTAGGGGCGGCTCCGCAGCTCCCGGGGAGAACAATGGCGCATCCCTGCCCCGGCCCCTCTCCCAGGGACAACAATGGCAGGAGCCGGAGTCGGAGCCGCCTGAGCTCATCTCCCCCCCCCGAGAGCCTGGAGGGGGCTGGGGCGGGCGGGGGGCCGTGGGCTGTGCGACAAAAGCTCCCTCCCAGCCCGGTCTCTGCCTTGCACGAGTGGCCTCCCTCCCTCCCAGCCATCTGCACACACACCCCAGGGGATGCTGGGCGGGAGGGACACAACAGCAGAATTTTGGGGGTTCAGAGAGTTCCCCTTTAGCTCCTGCAGCCTCACAGGTCGGGTCTCCCCACTGCGGACTGGCCGCCACATCCCCCCATCTCCAGCTGCTTTGTGTCTTGGTGTGCCAGGGCATTGTCTGCGGAGGAGAGACCCGGCAAGGCAGCCTGAGGTCACAGCAGCATTTCCCCAGCACCCTCCCTGTGTGCGCGGGGTGGCGCTGGCCCGGCAGGAAGCAGCTTGTGCCCCTTGGCAGCCCGGAACCGGTGCCCACCAGCCCGTTTGTCCCTTGCTTTAAAGCCCTGTGTCCTAACTCTGTGTCCCTGCTGGGAAGCGGGTGCTTGGGCAGAGGGAATCCCTGGGGGAGGAATGGTCCAGCCTTGTTATCAGACATCAGAGAAGTCTCCACAGGCAGCAGCAGCTTTGACGCTTGGCTCCCAAGGAGAGCTCGGCCCATCCATTCCCTGCCCACGGACTGACTTTGACCCACGGGGCACACAGAGGTGGAGAGGGGTCCAGTCTGTCCCCTCCTCACGTTCCCGCAGAGCCGGGACCCCGGCAGGGACTGAGACGCCCCCGGTGTGCAAATACCGAGATTAGAGCGCGGCGAGTCGGGATCCCTGAGCGGGACCCGAAATGAGGGGGTACAGGCTGGGACCCCCGTTCAGAANGGGGGGGCTTTGTTTTTTGGGGGGTGTTCAATTTTGTTTGGGGAGGGAGAAGCCAAGGCGCCTTCCCTCCGCGGCCGAGCCCAACTTCCGAGTCCCTGGACTCCTTCCCACCCTCCGCTTGGGTGGTTGGAATTTTTTTTTTTCTTTTTTAACTTAAAAAAAAAAACAAAAAAAAAGAAGAAAAAAAAAGAAAAACCCTGAATAAATAACCCCAAACTCGGTCCCGGCTGCAGGGCCGGTATTTATAGACATTAATGACCCGACTGAGCCAATACTGACATAGTCTTCATAGGCCGTAGGATCCTTTTTCTCGTCCGACTTGGATTTTTTTCCGTCAGGATCTGTGCAAATAGAGCCCCCACGTGATGTGTTTTTTGTCTGTAAAAGTCTTTTTTTTTTTTTTTTTTTTGTGTGTGTGTTTTGGGGAAAGGGGGGCGGGGGGGGAAGAGCAAGGCTTTTTCGGTCTTTAATATTTTATTTTTTATTTTTGAAATAAATTTGGGCAGTCTGGATGCAATCGTGTCTGGTGTCGCTGTGGGGTGACAGGAGCTGCTTGGGTCACCCCAACAGTGTCAGAGGATGCTATATCTATGCATACCTGGTCAGCACCCACATTTGTACCTCAGGAGGAAGGAGGGCAGTGATGCCCCATCCTCCCTGGCAGGAGAACAGATCTGGGGGTTCTTTGAGGTGTTTTCAGCACTTTCTGGGTGCCAGACTCCAACCTGTGGGTGCTCTCAGACTCGGTGCTCCCAGTCTCATCCCACTGGCCACTGCCTGGAGGAGCTGGGCCGGTTGCACCAGCTGGGCTGGCCATGAGTGCCAGCTCCCTGCCAGCTCCCTCCCTCCTTCCTGCGTCACACCCGGGTGGCTGCGGGCCGGGGCGGGGGGTTGGTGGCCATAAATGTGGCCGTGCCTCAGTTTCCCCACCTGCCTTTGCCCTGGGGAAGGTGATGGGGTGGGGTGGCTCTGGGGATGTGTGTCAGCACCATGTCACCCATGCAACGCTGTTCCTGCAGCCCCCAGGAAGCTGGAGGCTGTCAGATGCTGTGGGGGGACACTGTGGGCTGGGACACCCCCAGAGCTGTGCTGTGTCACCAACACGGTGACACTGTCACCTCCAGGCACACCTGGGGTGGGGTGAATCCTGCCTGGGCACNCCCCTTTGCTCCCCTTGATCCCCTGCTGGCATCACCCCCGGCTCTGGATCCATCCCACACGGTTCTGCCACCCTGTGTGCATTCCCAGGGCTGGGGATGACGCCTCACGGTGAGATCAGAGGGCTGGAGTGGGATGGGGATGGGTTGGGATAGGGTGGGATGGGATTGGATACGGTGGAATAGGGAGTTGCTTTCCCTCGGGTTTCCAAGGCTGGGTCACCCCAGGAACAAGGTTCAGTGTGTGTCTAAGGAGGCTCCCGAAATCCTGAGTCCTTCCCCTCCCCAAGGCTGGCAACTCGCTTGAGCATTTATAATAATAATAATAATGATAATAACAACAATAATAACACCACCACCAGCAGCTGAGCTGTCGGCTGACTCCTGGAGCCGGGATTTAAAACAAACCAAGAAATGTGGCAGCGTCTGGGAAACAGCCTCTGGCACTTTGGGGGCACAGGGGGCACAGGAGGTGTGGGGGATCAGGGCTCTGCTGCCTCTGGGTCTGTGCCCTGGGTGCCCCTTCTCACCCTGACAGTTTCCCCCTGTGTTTTCACAGGCTCAGCAGCTGAGTTCTGCCCTTTTGGGGGGACTTAGGGGACTGTGAGGGCCATGCCCAGGGGAGGGTGGGCACAAGCTGGCAGCATGTGCTCATGGGGGAGGACCCCAGGACCTCTCCTAACCTGAATTCTGCCATTGCCAAAATTGCCACAGCAGCACAGGGCTGGGGGGCTGCAGAGGAACAGGGACAGAGGCAGAGCTGGGGCATAAAGCAGGACAGGAGGTGGTCAGGGATGGGTTCCCCCTGCTCATCCCATCCCAACTCCAGGCTGAAGCAGGGCTGGGGCCCACAGCTCTGCCTGCCCCCAGCTCAGGGGGCCACGGGAAGGGAAGCATTGAGGCCGGGGGCTGGGAGCCACTGGGATGGGAGCAGGAGTTCAGCGTCCTGAAGGGGCCCATGAGCTCAAAGAGCCCAGAATAGCCAGGGCTGACCTCACGGCAGCGGGGCCACGGCCCAGCACAGCCAAGTATGGCTGCACACCTGGGTGCTGCTAAATGCAGAGGGATTCGCCATCCTTCCCGGGCCCAGGGCCAGGTGGGTGAGAGCCCTGGTGACTCCCCCCAGCCTCAGCTGAGTCACCCTGGGGTCTGCCCTGTGCTGGGGTCCCCCTGCTCACTGTGTGCTCACCCTGAGTCACTCCAGGGGTGATTTCACCCCAGGCCCCAGGCCAGGGTGGGGGGCAGAGCCCTGCGAATGTGGGGTGCCCCAGAGCCAGGGCACGGCAAGCGAGGCCAGGCAGGGCTCGNCAGGAGCTGTGCTCTGGAGCCCGGCTCTGCTCCCACCCTGTGCGGGTGCAGCCTGTCCTGGGCACACCCTGAACCTGCCAGGAGCCGGGCTGCTCCCTTGGGATGGGCTCTCCATCCCCCCATCCCTGGTGACTGTGCTATTTTTTTTGTCCTCTTTGTCCATGCAGGTGTTCTACAACGGTGCCAACGTGAAGCAGGTGGATGTGCCCACGCTGACAGGCTCCTTTGGCATCCTGGCATCCCACGTCCCCACGCTCCAGGTGCTCCGGCCGGGCGTTGTCACAGTTCACGCCGAGGATGGGACGGCCACCAAGTACTTTGGTGAGCTGGGGAGGAGAGGTGTGCGTGGGGTTGCTGTTCTTGGTGCTTTCACAAGGCAGGCTCTGCCCATCCAGGTGTGGCCTGGTGCACTTCCAGGGATTTCTGCTTTCCCAGCCTGCTGGGAGCTGATCTGGGAGCTGTGGGCTGGGATCAGGTCTTGGTTCTGCTCAGGTTTTCTGGGTCCATCCCCTGCTCCAGCTTGCCTTGGGGTGGAAGCTGAGTCCCTGAATGCTGGAAATGTGCCAGGAGGGGGCTGAAGGTTTGTTCTGGGGAAGGGTGGTGGGGATGGCAGGGCTGAGCCCCCTGGCTGAGCCACCTCCCATGTTGTGTCTCACAGTGAGCAGTGGCTCTGTCACTGTCCACGCCGACTCCACGGTGCAGGTGCTGGCAGAGGAGGCAGTGACCATGGACATGCTGGACCTGGCTGTGAGTACCCAGAGATTTCACCCACCCTGGTGGGGAAATTGCTCCCTTTCTCTGCTCTGCGGTCCTTGTGCCCAGAACCCAGGGTTGTGTCAGCACCCCCACTGCATTTTGGGATCAGAGGCTTGGGGCTCCTCCTTGGTGAACTCTCTGGAGAGAGGGAGCTCTGCAGTTGTAAATCTCCACACCATTTCCCACCCCTTGGACAGACACTGACCTTGTCCTCACCTCCAGAATGGCTCTTCCCTGCTGATAAGGTGTCTGGGGCCAGCACAGCTGTGTCTGTAGCTCTGTGAGGCTCCCAAGTCACTGGGTCCTTGGCATCCACATGAAGGACCAGTGGCTGCAGGGGAGGGAGGGAAGGACAGTCCCCTCTCCTGCAGTGTCTCCATTGACACACATTCTTTGTGCCCTCATGTCCAGACTGCAAAATCCAACCTGGAGAAAGCTGTGTCAGAGATGGCAGCAGCGTCTGATGAAGCTGCTAAAGCAGAAGCTCAGATTAAGGTAGAAGCTAACGAAGCCCTGGTGAAGGCTCTGGAGTAAATCCAGGTGAGGTTCAGCTTGGCTGAGCATCCAGCCCTGCTCTAGGGCCTGCTGGGCTGGGTGGGGGGATCTGCCTTGCTTTTGGGGAGCAGTGAGCACAGCTTTCCCTTGCCAGGGTCAGGCCTCAGCTCTGGGGGGCTCATGGGGGTCCCCAGCCCAGAGCTGACCTGGGGCTGTTGGTGGCAGTGGGGCCTGGGGTTGGGCTGTGGCACTGTGGGATCCAGCCCAGCTGTGACACTGGAGTTCAGCCCTGATAAGGGTGGGTGGATGGTGCTGGGACAGACTGGGAGCTGTGGTCACTGCTGGGGCCTCACTGGTTCCCCTGGGCCCCACAGCATGTGATCTCTGCCACACACACTCCCACTAAAGACAAACAGCTTCATTCTCAGGGGAGGTGAGGCCAGGCTCTTACCTTGTGGCCTCTTTTTGCTCTGCCCTGCACAGACTGTGCCTCATCCCTTCCCTTCCCACGTGCTGGCAGCCAGGAATTGCAGCAGTGTGTGCTGAGCAGGGCTGTGAGTCACTGGCAGCCTCCAACGGGCTCAGCCTGGAGCACAGGAGGGCAGCAGCTCCTGCTCTCTCCTGATCTCTGATCCAGGTGCTCTTTGGTCCTGCAGAGCTGCTGGCTCGTGTTTACTCACAGCAGTTGCACAGCTGGAGTGGGGCCAAGCCCTGGGGTTGGGATCTGCAGCCCAGCCAAGCCCACCCCGCACTAACCTGACCCCACTTTGTGTTTTGCAGGAATCCCACTGTGGATGCAGAACTCCCAGCCTGTCCCTGTTCTACTCCCCAGCTGTACAGATGGAGCAGGACGAATGGAGGTGGAGAAATGGTTCTGATCAATTAAAAGGAAATGTGACCCCCTCTTGTGGCACATCGCCTTCTTCCCAGGCAGCAATTGCAGCTGCAGCCAGGAGCAGTTCCCAGCTCCTGCCCCGAGACAGATTCACCCTGGGAAGGGCTCACCAGCACTGCCCTGGGGTTTGGCAGAGGAGATTCACCCTGGGGAGGTTCATCAGACAGATTTGTAATCTCTTCCCCGTGCTCCAGCCACCTCCATCTCCAGTAAGCACTTGGACTGCAGGATTTCAGCAGCACAGATCTGTTCCAGAGCCATCCTGTCCCAGCCTCAGCCTCAGGAATCCACACTGGCACACCAGGGAGCTTCCCACAGCTGGACAGCAGCTGCTGGGCTCTGCCCCATCCCCTGCTGCTGCCAGTGGCACTTCCCCTTCTCCTGGAGATTGGCTTGGCCTGGAGAGGGAAGCAGATGCTGTGCATGGTGGAAATCTTTCCTGCTTCCCTTCGTGCTGGGGATGGATGGAGCTCCTCTGCTGAGCTTGGTGTTCCCTGTCTGAGGAGGCCACCTGAGGTTCCTCAGGGCTCCTCACAGCCCAGAGAAGCAGGAAAGGCTCATTGGGCTGCAGCACTGCTGGGAAGGGTGGGTTTGGGCATGGGACAGCTCTGCCTGTGCCAGGGATGCGTGTCCTGCCGTGTGTCCTGCTGCACCAGCTGCTGCCAGGCCCCTCACTCCATGCCACCCTCCCACGCCTTTCCAGAGGGATTTGGGGTTTCCACTGCTGTGCAGAGCTTCCGTCCCTCCCTCTGCGTGCCTCTAATCCCCTTTTCCCTGCGCTGTTCCAGCCTGGGGAGCTGTGTTGGCTGCCTGTGAGGTCAGTGCTTGCCACTCCAGCCTCCCGCTCTGCGCTCGGAGCAGGGCACGGCTATTTTGGGCACTGCCACCCAGGATGTAATCTTGGCTGCCTCCTCTTCTCACCACCACCTCCTCCCCCTCCTCTCGCTCACTCTGTCTTTCTCTCTCCCCCCCCCTTCACAAGTGATCAAAAATAGAGCCTGTGGTGTTAAATTTCTCACTCTGTGGCTTATTAAAAGCCTCCGAGTGCCTGACGCGGAGCCTATTTGAAGCTCAGCCGACTTCCAGCTCCTGAGCTGCTCCAGTGCCTTTTCCCCTTCCCCTCTCATTCCCTTTTTTTTTTTCCTTAAAGGTCAGACATTGCACTGAGCATAAGCAAAGCTTCAGAAGACTCAGAGCTGTACTAATTAAAACATCTTGGGAATTACTGGGGCCGGGCAGCTCCCTTCCCTCTCCCGCTGCCCCTCTCCGTCCCCAGCTGCTATTTCGGCTGCGTGAGCCTCCCCCAGCACACGCAGCCGTGCTGACGGAAGGTGGCTGCCTCGGGTTTTTCATCTAATGGAAGAGCGTTGGCGAGGCCGGGAAGCTGGGGAAACGGCCAGCTGCTATTTTTAGGACTGGGAAAAAAGTGTCTCCGTCAGCGTCCTCTCACCAGCTCTTCCCACTGCCTCCCGCCAGCGCCAGGGGAGCTGGGGGGGCCCAGGGATCCGGTCCTGCCCCCTCTCAGCTGCCCTTGGCTGGGTGCTCCACAGCCTGAGACCTGCTGGGACTTGTAGGCTGCATTTGGGGGGAGCAATTGGGGACCCTTCCATGTCCAGGCACCCATGGATGCAAGGACAAGGCTCTGTCCTGAGCCAGGACAGGAGCAGCACTGGGCAGGGGCTGTGGGTGCCTGGCTGGCAGCATCATAGCCCTGCTGACCCTGAGCTGCACTTTTGGGGTGCAGGGCCTGTGTGGGTGGATGCCTGTGCACTTTTAGGGGTGCAGGGCCTGTGTGGGTGGATGCCTGCACTCCTCCACGCTCCCAGGCCAGCCTGCTCCCTGCAGCCTCAGCTCTGACCCCCTCTGCCTCCAGCCCTTCCCCTCCCTGCTCATTATCTGGCTCTGCAAAGAGTTCTCCTCCTCCCCTGGCTGCCACTGCCCATGCCAGAGCCACCATCGGTCACGTCCTGCTGGATGCCACAAAAATGGCCTGACTGGGTGCAGAGGATGTGCAGCTGCTGCAGAGGCAAAGCCCTTTCCTGCTCATTGTGCAGGTGCTGCAGGGATGAGCCCAGCCTGGGGGACAGTCCTGGTGTAGATCATGGTGTGATTCAGCAGGTCACCCTCCTCTCCCCTGCCCCCACATCAGCCTGGATTGTGACACCAGTGTGGCATTTTCCTGTTCCTGGAGTGCTGGCACTTGCCCAGGGGCACAGCAGCCTCCATCTGTGCTTTCTGCCTCTTTTTGGGGTGATGGGTGCTGAGCTTCCCCCGCCTTGGGGTCCCTGCCCCTGCCTTGGGGTCCCTGCCCCTGCTGGGGCCATGCAGGACCGGCAGCACGGGCGATGTGCCGGAGTTATCCCCAGGACCTGTTTGTCTCCGGCTTTGGGCTGGGGCGTGGTGGGTGTGAGAGGGAAGGGCTGCCCGGAACGCGGTGGGAGCGGGGGAGGAGGGCTGGTGTTGTCCCCCCTCCTCCCTTTCCACGCAGGGCTCTCTCTCCCATGACTCGCATCCTCTGCTGCCAGATGGAGGGTGGGGAGCGGGGCCGGCAGCGCTCGGAAAGTGAAGCATCACGGATTCTGCCGGCGGCGTCGCTTCTCCGGGGGATGATTTCCGAGACGGGCCGGGTTCTGCCAGGCCAAATCTCCCGGTGCTGGCGGCAATCCCTGCGTTTGGCCGCGTGGCATTTCCCCGTCCCACCCAGTCCCGAATGCAGGCGAAAGGTTCCAGCTCTCCTCTCTCTCTCGGCAGGAAAAACAACCCCAAACCCCACCGCAGCCCCAGGAAGCCCCGCTCCCTCCGGGCTGACTCAGCTGGCAGAGCCGCCCCTTTCCCTGCCCAAACCTCGGCGCGTTGGGGATGGATCCTGCCTGTCTCCGTACCCCATCGGTGCCCACCCTGGGGGTACAGAGGTTGCCCCCATCCCTCTCACTGCCAGCGAGCTGCAGGATGCTCCAGCAGCTCCCTGGAGTTTGGGGACCCCCTTTGGGGTGCTGGGCAGCTCCCTGCCTGTCCCGGGGGCTCTGCAGACCTGCCCCCCTCCTGCCTGCACGGATTCTGTGCTGCCGCTGGCCCCGGCGTGGGAAGGTCAGCGGAGGCTCCACACGCTGCGAGCACAGCCCGGAGCGTCCTTGGGCCACGCCGCCCTTGGGCAGCTCGAAGGCCGAATCCTCGCAGCTTCCTTAGCATGGGGAGGGGGGGAGCGGGTGCTGCTGCTGTATAATGATTAACCCGGCCGCGTTAATCATTCCGGCCGGCAGCCTTTTTCCTCTGGGTTTCCAGCTCTGGAAAATGCTCCTTTTCCGATTCCCTCCCACGCACGTGGCCCCGCAGAGGGAGCGTGGCACAGCTCAGGGAAAACCCTGTGGGGAGGAGCGGGACCTGGCTCGGGGTCTGGCATCGGGATCTGTCCCGGTGGGACCCCTCGGTGCCGGTTCTGGGGGTGCTTTGCCCGTGGGGAGCGTGGCCCCAGCGGCCTCACCCCCAAAATCCCGAGCACCGGAGGGCGTTGAGGAGGGCGGGTGCTGCAGCCAGCACGACAGAGATTGTCACGGTGCTCCGGGGCCAGCAGTGCCACACCGGCCACGCAGCAAACCTTGGCCCGGGGCGAGTTCTCTCGTGGGGAAACTGAGGCACTGGCAGGCTGGGGAGAGTGGGAACGCGACATGGGAATCTCAGATTGTGCTGCTGCGCTTGGCGATTCCA